AGAAATGCTAGTTACTATTATTATAAATGGGTGTTGCATTTTATCCAAAGCCTTTTTCTGTATATAGTGATACAATCATACTATTTTTGCTGTTCTAGATAGTAATAACTTATTAATATATTCAATTAGGTATTTTTCCTATTATCAAACCAATCCTGCATTTCTGTATAAATCCAAACTGGTCATAGTCAAGAAAGATTTATAAAAATTATATGATCTTTGTGATATATGGTTTAGCCTCTTTGCTAATATTTGCTAATATTTTATGTAGCTTTTTTTCTCTATTTTGACTTTCCCTGGTTCAGGTATCCAATCATATCTGCATCATTAAAGGAATTTGGTGGATCCCTTCTTTTCCTAACTTTGTAAACAGTTTATATAATATTGGAATTAATTGTTCTTTGAATGCCTGACAGAATTCACTTGTGAATTCATTATTTTTTCCTTTGGGAGTTTTTTATTTGATTTCTTTTTTCTGACATTGGGTTGATTAAATTTTCTATTTCTTGTTCTGTAAGATTGGACATTTTATATATTTCTGTAAATATTCATCCATTTCTTTTAAGTTGTTGGTTTTGTTGGCACATAGTTAGGCAAGCCAGTTTCTAATCACCTATATTTCTTCTCCATTTGATGTGAATTCTTTTCTAATTTTTGAAACTGATAATTTGGTATTCTCTTTCTTTTTAGTCAAAGCTAACAGTTTACCTATTTTATTTTCCCTTGAAATAAAACCTGTTCTTTATGGGGCTGAGTCCAAGGTCCCCTCTCCCAAAGTACAGCCATAGAGTTACTGGTCTTTGCACCTGGTGGTCAAGTCCTAAGTCACAGTTCCCTTTTCTGGAATAAAGTGATCAGTCATGTGAAACGCTGAGTTTCACATCCTCCTCCTGGGGATCGTGATGAGAGCAACCACACTGGGGCCATGCTCCTTCTCCAGTCTCTGAGCCTGGGGGAGGGCTGAATCACATGGTCAAGGCCAAGTCTTGTAAAGGTCAGGAGAGCAGGGCTCCAAGTGCTTCCTCCTACTTTGCCATGTTGGCCAGTCCTTTCTGCTGAAATTGATATGTTCCTTTTGAAGCACCTCTCGCTCATGGCAGCCCTTACTACCATACTACCATGGACTGATTTCATGGTCTATCCCACCTAACACCACATCCAACTAGAGCCCCAAGTCATTACAGGATCCAATTTTAAAATGAGTCTTTATAGGGAGAACTTTAAGAAAGAGCAAACCCCTGAGGTGAAGACCTTCACATGGGGTTCACGAATACTTCATCCTGTCCAACAGACAAGAACAGCAGGTACACCCAACCAGGCCACAACAATGTGGGGAGGGAAGAATGGAGAGTTATTTCAGTCCTTTTAGGAAGGTTTATTTTTCTCTCCAAAAGGCAAAAATATTTGTCTTTGATTTTTATTTTTAACTGAAGCAATCTGGCTTATATATAGCAGGGAAAGAATTTTAACCCTCCTCACCCCCAAAGGAAAAGATAGCTATGAATTATTGTTGGTAAAGGATAACAGATTTATTTATAGATATGTTTTGGCATGTACTTTCCATGAATACACCAAAAAGGAATTGTGTGCTGCCTCAATATAACAATAATTTTTTAAACTCATATTTATATAGTTTTAAGATTTACAAAGTATCTTCTTCTTACAAACTCATAAGTTTAGTAGTACAAGTATTATTATCTCCATATTTCAGATGTGTAAATTGGAGATTACATGTTTTGCCCCTGGCCACGTAATTTGTAAATGTCAGAGCAAGACTCTTTCTAATATATCATGGTTTCATATTTTCCCTAATCCATCATACGTTGCCAGGTTATGTTGTAAAGAGATAGCAGAGAAGCCAATATAACATTCAATAGAGAAACACCATAAGCATTTCAACTAAAATCAGATCCAAAGCAAAGTATGCTCTTTCCTATTGGTTTTATTTGATATGTTATTAGAAATTCTAGCAATAAAACAAGACTAAAAGGGGTTAACGCTGGGATTGAAAAAGTCAAAATATCATTATTTACACGACATGGGACCATATCTAAAAAATCCAACCATTTCAACCAAAATGTTACCAGAGACAATGCATAAATGGAAAATGACTGTAATGTGAAAAATAAAATTATTATTTTTAAAGCTCTTACTAAGTAGCATCATCAAAACTACCTGAGACTGGGCAAAAAATAGAGAAGCAGATAAATGAAATAAAATAAACCAGACATCTAATCAAATGTATATAAAAGATAACTGTTTAAGAAAACTTTAGAAAAAAATTTTTTTTATTAAAATGGGAAAAGGATTAATTATTTAATAGAAACAAAAAAATGGACTGAAATCTTTCTCTCCATTGTGGAAGCGAGATTTTTTTTTTTTTTTTTTGCTTTTTGGTGAGGCAATCGGGGTTAAGTGACTTGCCCAGGGTCACAGAGCTGGTAAGTGTCATGTGTCTGAGACTGGATTTGAACTCATGTCCTTCTGACTTCAAGGCCAGAGCTCTATACACTGTGCCACCTAGCTGCCCCGAGATTTTTTTCAATTTAACAAATGGAAGGAATTATTAGAGACAAAAAAAATATGCCTGTCTACATCAATTTTTAAAATTGTACAACCAAAAGAAAAACATACTGAGAAAAAATTTTGGCAACAATTTATTTCATTTAGTAATCTTTTTGTAATGTTTTAGAGGCTGGAAGTATAAGACCCTCTTCATCCTTCAGCTGCTTCTCTCTTGGCCAATTAATATTCTTGTCTGCTTTCTCTTCCACACAAACTTCATTTGATTTTGTATTATTCTATATAGAAGTCCCTTAATATACTGATTTCACTAATATGGGGAACTTCCAGATGATACCAATACAGCTCAGCACCTTCTCTGCAATTTATAGTCTTCAAGAGTTGCCTAGAAAACACTGAGAAATGAAGTGACTTTCTCAGGGTCCAACAGCTAGTATTGTGTTAGAAAAAGGACTTGAACCCAGGTCTTCTGATTTTGGGGTCAGCTGTCTATTTGCTATGTCAATCTGGTCTTAGATGGAAAATATGACAAAAACTAACCCCTAAAATATAAAAGGAAGTACTAGTAAGTCACACTGGTAAGTCCTAACCTACAAGGGGTAAACAGGCTAGGAATATAAACAGCCAATTTTAAAAAGGGAAATATAGATTATTATTTACTTGAAAAAATATTAAAGTTCACTAACAGTCAAAGAAATGCAAATTAAAACAATTTGAGAGTAACCCCATAGCCATTAAATTAGTAAAAGTGATTAAAAGCAACAACATTCAGTGCTGGTGTAACATGGTGATATGCACACTCATTCATTCCTCATGAAACTGCAAACTTGTAGAGTACTTTGGGGTAGCAATCTGCCACAATATACAGTCAACAATAAAGTGATGGTCATACCTCTATGATCCAATAATTCTATTGTTGGGAATATACCCTGGTAATGCTATCAAAGACCAAAAAGAAAGGTCTATTTGATTAAAGATTTTCATAGCAACATTTTATGTAATTAAAAAAAGCAGGGAAGGGGGGCGCAGCTAGGTGGTGCAGTAGATACAGCACTGGTCCTGAAGTCAGGAGGACCTGAGTTCAAATCAGGCCTCAGACCAAACACTTGACACTTACTAGCTGTGTGACCCTGGGCAAGTCACTTAACCCCAATTGCCTAAAAATAATAAAAAAAAATTTTTTAAAAAGGGGGGGGCAAGTAGTCTAACAGGAGAAGGGTTAAAACAGGGGTGGTGAACCTGCATCCCTAAGACCACATGTGGCCTTCTAAATCCTTAAGTGCAGCCTTTTGACTGAATCCAAATTTTACAGAACAAATTTTGTCCTAATCTGTTCCTTAAGGCCATGTGGCCTTAAGGCTGCAGGTTCCCCACTCCTGGGTTTAAGTCAAAAAACCAGATCCAGAAAGATGGATGACACGCTAATGACCGCCAGATGAAGAAGAGGAAAGAAGGATAAATATACCAAGAATTGCAATGGTACTTGGAGGGAGAGGCTGGAAAGGTGTGGTGATCACTTATTTGGATGAGGCCTGTGATTTCATTGGTCTAGAGAAACAGAAGGTTACCCTGGCTGCCACTGGGAGGCTTAGAGAACTGTCCAGGGTCAGCCAAGATGTGGCAGATGCCACTTCCCCATGCTGCCTTTCATAATAACTGATCGTTATAACGTGATGGCACTAATATAATGAAATGATTTATTAATAGAAATTCATTTAAATGTACGCTAAGTAAATTCTGTGGGTTGTACTAATGTTCAATATTCAGTTTTGAGAAGGCAGCTCTGGAGTCAGAAGATTTGGGTTCCTACCCGGATTCTGCCACTGTGCCCTGAATGACCTTGGGCAAGACATTCCTAACCTCTGGGCCTCACTTTCTGAAGCTGTAAAAAAGTGCTACATTACATGACTTCTGAGGTCCTTTTCAGCTCTAAATCTACAATCCTACAAAATAATTTAATTTAAAATTGGTAGCATAGTATACATAACACATAAATGAATATACACAAATGAATTTCAAGGCAGATAAAAATATAATTTGGAACATAATAGAAGAATTAGTTAGAAAACAACCCCAAATTACAAAAAATCAACAAAGAATTTTAACGAAGAGCTAAGTAAACTCATACATACATTTCCATGACACTAGAGTCATCATAAACCCCAAGTTCCAGGGCATACATAAATGAAACAACTTGATTTAAAATAGTTAATATTTAAAATATTAAATCAAGCATTAATATTTAATATTCAGATATTTCTAGACATTAGGTAGAAAACTTTTTTCACTTAAAATTTAATGTTTACAAGACTAAAACAATTCTGGAGTTATATTTTTGCTAAGTTCCTTTTCTAAGGTTAAATGAGGTAAAAATTGAATTTCAATAATAATCATAATTACACCAATCTTGGCATTCAGTAAATTGCATTTAAACCCCATGAAAACTCATATATAGCTTAGAAAAGTGACTAACTTACCAAGGATTCAGAGTCTCTCTCAGCTCTCTTCTCTTCAAACGAACGTATTTTAACAGCACTCATCTTATCGGTATCAGCAAAGACATAATGTCTTGGATTATAGTGTTTGGACAAGCTCCCAAGCAGTCTCAGAATTTCTGTGGTATGCCCACCTGAAAATAATATTGAAGATCATATAGATTAAGAAATATACAATGTAAATCAACAATTAACAAGCAACAGGCCTATCTGCCCATCTGATTTTACAGTAAATATTTAGATAGAAGACTACAGTTCCTTCCTAAGAAATAAATAAGGAATGGAGAGATTAATCTCTGCCTTCATGCACCATCCAATCAGAGTGGCAGCAGCTTCCAGATACCTGGTCTTATTTTTGGCCCAGCATCTGTAGCAACCATACAGAGAAGCAATTCCTATGGAGAAAGGAGCTAGCCACCCCCAACTTCCATCTACTGACCTAAGGAGAGGGAAGTTCTCCTCAGAATAATGTTTTTCTAAACTAAAGGAAATGCTAACTTTCACATAGAGATGAGTGAAAATAAAGATTTACTGTCCTCCCCCACACCTCTTGCCACACACACATTTATGGACACTCTGAAATCTACCCACTGACCCAAGCTTAAGAACCCCTGATTTAGAGAGACCTTAGAGGTACACCCTCTATCTCTCTACCTTGCTCTGTGTGTGTGTGTCTCTTTGTCTGTCTCTGTCTCTTTATATCACTGTGTGTATGTGTGTGTGTGTGTCTCAGACAGTAACCTGCAAGAATGTATTAATATCAAGAAAGGCTATTCCTCTTCTCTTTGGTTTAGTTAGAAGAGATCCTCTGACTCCTTTTCACCTCTATAAATGCTGCAGGTGGTACAGTGGATAGCGCACTGGGTCTGGAGTCAGGAAGAACTGAGTTCAAATTCTGCCTCAGATGCTCTAGCTATGTGACCCATGGTACCTCACTTAAGTTCTGTTTGCCTCAATTTCCTCAAATGAAAAATGGAAGTATCACCTACTAACCAGGGTAATTATAAAGATTAAATGAGATGCTATTTGTAAAGTGCTTTGTACAGTGCCCAGCACACAGTAGGTGCTTAATAAACACTCATTTCCTGTCTTCCTATACAGAGTCTTGTTTTATGACTGATCAAAGAATTTAATGAACAGTTTACATTTTCAAGATTTAGTAGCCACAAATTCTATTGCCATGTAGAAAGCTATCTTGAGAGTTAGCTTAATCCTCCAAAACTTTATCACCACAATGCCTAAAGAAAACCTTAAATAGACATATAGCAAGATCCTGATTGATGCGAATAAATAATGAAATCTCATGAAGTGGTTGAATTATTCAAAATGTGTACTGCGTGTTTCTACAGGGTTGGAACCAATGACCACATTTTACACAATTATAACTTCAAGTAGTGTGAATTCAAATACCACTTGAGGGGATTTATTATTTGCACTAATCAGGACCCAGATGTAACACTTCGATTTTCCTTTATTCCTCTAACCCCAGATTTTGCAGACCCAAGTCTCACAGAGTCAACTGTCTCTGTTCATCTAAGTTATTAGTCACCTCTCAGTTTTTCTGGATGACCATCTACCTACATAATGCTCTGTGTCTACCTACATTGGACTTTCCATGTTAAGAGCAGATGAGGTTCATGTGTTTTGTTATTCTACTTTTTTTAAAAAAAGATTTATTTATGTCTATTTTTGATGGGCATAAAAAATTTCCCAATATCGTTCCCCAGCATCCATCACAGAGAAAAACAGTTAAGTGACCAACAAAATGGCTATGCACAATAATGTATACAACATTCCACACTTGTCAAGTCAAAACAACAAGCCTTACACATCTAACCTGTATGGAGTTGCTTGCCTTCTCAATGAGGGTAGGTGGGGAGGGAGGAAGAGAGAAAATTTAGAACCTGAAGTTTTAAGAACAAAAGTTGGAAGAAAATAAAAAACAAAAAAACCAAACTAACACCAAGCATTTATTAAGCACCTACTATATACTAAGCACTGTGCTTCAAAGCATTCAAAGACAAAAAGCAGTCCCTGCTTTCAAGGACCTCACAGTCTAACAAGGGAAACAACGTGCAAACAACTATGTACAAACAAGCTATTTAGTGGGTAATTGGGGGTAGTATCAGAGGGAAGGCAGTAAGATTAAGGAGGGCTGGAAAAGGGTTCTCACAGAAGGTAAGACTTTAATTGAGACCCAACGGAAGCCAGGAGGCAGAGAAGAGTCAGGACAGAATTCCAGGTACAGTCAAGGAACAGCAAAAGACTACCATCACTGCATCCAGTGTTACTGCAGGAGCAAGATATAAGAAGATAGGAAAGGTAGGAAAGGCCCAGGTTGTGAAAAGCCAAACAGAGGATTTTATATTTGATCTTGGAAGCAACAGGAGTAGAATGAATAGGACAGGGTACCAGACAGAGCTGAGCTTCCAGAAGGTCAATCTGAGAGCTGACTGGAAGAGGGGAGTGACAAGACCCAGGGAAACCAAATAGCAGCAGGAGGTGATGAGGGCCTGAGCCAGGGTGGAAGAGTGTTGGATGATAGACACAACATTCCACATCTGTAGTCCCCACACCTTTCTACCAAGAGGGGAAAAAAATGTGTTCCCACACCTGCCTGCTGGAACCAAGGCTGCTCACTGCATTTAACAGGAATGCTGGTGCCTAGAGGTGTCGCTCTTTTTTATCTTATTATACTCACTGTGCAACCATTTCTGTTTCTGCTTATTTCATTTCGCATCAGTTCACGCAAGTCTTCCCAAGTTTCTATTTCCTGATATGTGTAATTTCTTACAGCGTAACACTCCACGACACTCACACAGCACAAATTGTTTAGTTGTTTCCCAACTGATAGGAACCCTTTTATTTCCAATTTTTTAATACTACAAAAAGTAGTAGGACTTTTCTTTCTTTAACCTTCTTTAGGTACATAAGCATAGTAGTGGAATCTCTGGGTCAGAGGATATGGACAGTTTACTCACTTTTCTAGTATAAATCCAAATTATTTTCCAGAATAGATAGACCAATTAATTCACAGCTCTACCAAGAGTGTATTAATTAATGTGTCTGTTTTCCCACAGCTTTTTTAATTCCTTTCATCTTAACAAGGTATTATGTGCTTAATAAATGCTTCTTAGATTGGATTTATTGTAAATATTTACAATTTAGCTTTATTTCAACCTAAATATAAGAATACTGTTGTGAAGCTCAATGGAGAGGATGTAAAGGTGATTTGCAAATCTTAAAGTGTGATAAAAGTGTATGTAAATATGAATATATAATGTATAAATATAAATGTATGCATATACACATAAATATAAATGTATGTGCATATAAATAGATATAAACATATACTGTGTAAGCAAATATTTAAATACAAATAATATAAATGTATAGGTATACAAATATAAATATGAATGTATAGGTATATTTTGTTATGTCATTTTTCAGTCAGGTCCAACCCCATTCGGGGTTTTCTTGGCAGAGATACTGGAGTGGTTTGCCATTTCCTTCTCCAGCTCATTTTACAGATGAGGAACTGAGGCAAACACGGTTAAGTGTCTCATCCAGGGTCATAGCTAAGAAGTTCCTGAGGCCAGATCTGAATTCACAAATATAGGTGTGTATGTGTATATACATACACACACACACACACATATACACACACACACATATATATATAAATGCACAGGCATATAAATAAAAAATGTATAGAGATACAAATAAATTCAAATGTATAGGGATATAAATCTAAATTAAAATGTATAAAGATATAAATATTAATGCATAGGCATAGGAATATATAAATAAAATGTATAGGCCGTATAAATGGAAATATAGAGATATAAACATAAACGTGTGGTATATAAATGTATAGGTTTAGAAACATACAAAATGTAATTACAAACATATATGAACACAAATATATAAATACATATACAAAATGCATACAAATAAATAGGTACATGTAAAACTATAAATAAATGACTTATAAATGTCTCTCCAGGTAATCTCCTTCAGAACTGGGATTGTTATCTTTGGGCCTCCAGTACCTAGTACAGATGGCTCATGCTAGGTACTTAATAAATGCTTGTAGATTCATCCTATATTTGCATTTATATGTATGTGTACACACACACTAATGCCTAGTGGGAGACCCTGAATGTCAGTAACCTGTGGGATTATGAAACTTTCTATCCAACTGCCAGATCAGAACTTTGCCTCACTACTCCATGCTAGAATTGTGTGTGTGTGTCTATATACACAGGTATTTATTTCCATATTTATGTACATATACATGTATATTTGAATACATTTATATACCTATACATTTCTAGAGAGAGAGCCACTGAGGCTGCTCATCTCCTAAGAGGGGGAGCCTGGTTCTGTGGCAAGTTTCTCTATTTGTTGTCAAAAGACCTAGGTCTGAACCCTGGCTCTGCTGCTTACTAGAGCGGGTGATAACCTCTCTGGGCCTCACTTTCCTCATGTGTAAAAAAGAAGTCACTGGACCAGGTCCTTCCCAGCTCGAAATCTGCGGTCCTAGGACCCCAAGTCCTAGGCAAGGAGGTGACCAGTATGGGGGGAGGAAACTCACATGGAGGAAATCACAGAGGAGTCAATGAGAAGCTTCTAAGTTCTAGTTCCCTGTTTGGGGGTTTTCTTGAATTCAATTAAGAGGAATCTAAGGGTGCAGCTAGGTGGCGCAGTAGATAGAGCACTGGCTTTGGATTCAGGATGACTTGAGTTCAAATGCGACCTCAGACACACAACACTTACTAGCTGTGGGACCCTGGGCAAGTCACTTAACCCCATTTGCTTAGCCTAAAATAAAAAAAAGAGGAATCCAGAAAGCTTCAACATAGGTAGCTGGGGGGTACAGTGGACAGAGGGCAAGACTTTAGATCTGGGAAAACCCGAGTTCAAATCCTAGCTGTGAGACCCTGGTCAATTCACTTAATGTCTCTGCGTCTCAATTTCCTCATCTGTAAAACAAGGGCTAGGGCATCAATTTTCTATTTGATGCTTTAAAATCGATTATGTTATTCATTCGGATCATTAACGTCACTGAGCCCCAAATCTCCAGTTAAACGTGGATTCATCCCAGGCCAGTAATTCACAAAAACCACATAGACCAGCATGCAACGCTTCAAGCAAAGCAGAAAGCGAAAGTAGGGGGTGGGGGGCGGAAGATGAGAAACTACAAAGCCGCGTTGTCTTCTGGGTCTTGTAGTCCTGAGGGAAAACAGGGCGGGGAGATGTCATGTGACCGGTGAAACTACGACCTCAATCTACTCACCGGACCCGGCCACCACCAGCACGCTGACGGACACAGTCTGCAGCCCCTCTTTTCGGGGGCGTAGCACCAGCCACAGCCGCAGCAGTACGAGAACGGCAACAACACCCCCCACAGCGATCAGGCAGAGGAAGAAATTCATACTAGCCGAGAGGGTCCATGATCGCCGCTACCAGGAAGGGAAATCGGCCGTGGAAGTTCGAAAACTACGGGAGCCGAGGAAGCTCGAAATGTCTCAGCCCCGCCTCTTTCCCTTACGTTCTCAGCTGCCTGGACGCCGATTTGCTCGAGAGGTGGCGCTCGGGTCTAAGGAGGGCGGGGAATGATGGGAGGTCGTAGTCGTCCTCTCATTTACCACGCAGCTGTTGGCCCGGGGGCGGGACTTCCGACTGCAGGAAACGCGAAAGCGCGAGCCCGGGTACCTGTGCAGTCTCCGCCTCCAAAGATGGGCTCCTCCTTATAGAGCCTGGCGTTAATCTGTAATTACTCCCTCAGCCTTCTGCCCCTCTACCCTTAATACCACGTCCACGTTGTGTCCGCTAGGGCCCCGGATATCCTTCTATTCCTTTCGTAGTCGGAATAATTGCCGCCGCCACCTCACCCCCAGGACTAAAGCCAAGCTGCTGCTTTTAACGCGCAGGGTTCGGTGGCTGGCCCGGGTAATTAGCTCCAGGGCGGGGATGATCCTGGCCTCCTGAGCTCCATAAGCCGGGCTCTCATCTCCTGGTGCAGTCGTGGATATCCCACCTACCTTTCTTCAAAACGGTCCTGCCTGTGCAGGTGATCAAAGAAGGTGGATATCTCCAGTTGATCAATGGTCAAAGGATACGAACAGGCAGTTTTCAGAAGAAGAAATCGAAGCCATCAATAATCGCATGAAAAAATGCTCTAGATCTCTAATGATAGAGAAGTGCAAATTAAAATAACTTGGAGGAAACACCTGTCAGAGTGGCTAACATGACAGAAAAGGAAAATGACATGCTGGAGGGGATGTGGAAAGATAGGGACACTAATGCATTGTTGGGAGAGTTGTGAACTCACCCAACCACTCTGGAAAGCAATTTGGAACTATGCCCAAAGGACCTATAAGCTGAGCATGCCCTTTGACCCTGCAATACCACTACTAGGGCTGCATCCCAAGGAGCTCAAAGGAAAAGGACTTATATGTACAAAAATATTTACAGCAGCTCTTTTTATGGTGGCAAAGAATTGGAAATTGAGGGCATGCTTATCAATTGGGGAATGGCTAATATGATTGTTATGCAGTAAGGAATGATCAAAAGGATGGCTTAAGAAAAGAGTGAGAAGACAATATGAGCTGATGCAAAGTGAAGTGAGTAGAACTAGGAGAATGTTATATACTGTAATAATATTGTAATGATGATCAACTTTGAAAGATTTGGCTACTCTGATCAATGTAATGACCCAAGGCAATTCCAGAGGACCCTTGTTGAAAAATGCTATCAATCTGTAGAGAAAAAATTGATGGGTACTGAATACAGATTGATTTTTCCTGTATTTTTCTTGCTTTCCCTCTCCCCCACAAAGTGGTTAATGTGGAAATGTTTTGCATGACTTTATATGTATACTGTATATGTATTTCTTGCTTTCTCTCCTCAGGTGGAGGAGAGAGGGACAGAATTTGGAACTAAAAAAAAATTAAAATAATTTTTTAGAAGATGGATAGTTTACATGTAAAAAAGGCACAACCAGAGCAGCTGAAAGAAAATGCTAATTAAAACAGCTCTGAGATGCCCTTTGAACATCTAGTAAAATGGCAAAAACAAAATCAAAAAATCCTTTGTTGTGGGGAGGATTTGCTGTGTGGAAACAGATATATTGCTGCAAATTGATTAAATTCAAATCAACAAAACTTTTCAGCCATCTCAACCAAAAACAATTTATGGATTTAATAAATAAGTTCAGCAGAGTCTAGGTTACCAGATTAATCTGCAAAAAGACTACATTCTTATTTGTTAGTAATAAAGATTAAAAAAGTTTTTAAAAAAAGGAAACCGTATTTATAGTATCAAGGAAACCAAAATTAACTATCAAAATAAGAGAAGACAAATAACTGGTGGGTCAGTATTCATGATTTGGTAGGATTAATAGAACAAAAATTATATTCCCCAAACGAATTTATATATGTGTATATATATTCTGCACTAACAATCAAAATACTATGAGGCTAGCTTCCTCATAGAGCCAGATAATTATTATAAAACTTATGTGGACAAACAAGAGGGCAAGAATATTAAGCTGATTCTTACATTTTTGTCTTTAAATCCCCATAGCCAAGTACAGTGTTAGGCACTTCTTAATTGCTGAATTTCATAGGATCATAGATTTAGAACTGGAAGGGACCTTAGAGATTATCTAGCCCAACCCTCTAATTTTATATATTAGGAAACCGAGGCCCAGAGTGGGTAAGTGACTTCCCCAAGGTTACATAGGAAACTTGCCGAAGGTTCCATAGTCAGTGGTTGAGTTGGGATTTAAACCCAGGTCCTCTGATTCCTATACTTCCAGACAGTTGTATCAATTTGGGAATCTCACCAGCACAGACTGAAGAAATTTTACGAAAGACTGCCCTTTCTAGCCTTTGAATTATTTTGTCCCTAGTCTCACTTTGTATCTTGGGAATTGTTTATACAACCCAAGTGTTTCAGTAGGGGACAACCTTAAAAATGAAATTCTGAAGACAAAAAGAATTCTGAAGAAAAAAAAACAATTTGAATGAGAAGAAAAAGGAAGAGTCAGCAGTCAAAGTAAGGTACTGGCTTATAACTAAACTAATGTGGAAGCACAGGGACCTTTCCAATCAACTTAAATTTGAAAAACACTTGTAAGATAAGCAAGCAACAAGAACAATTAAAAACACTCATCCAGTGTTTGGCAAACTCCAGAATATAAATTAGTGAGGGGTGAGTAAGAAAAATTGCTGGGAAAACTAGAAAGCACTTTGGCAGAAATTAGGTTTGGTTTAAAATCTTACACCACATACTATAATAAGCTCAAAGTAGATATTCAACCTGAATACAAAATGTCATACTGCTTAAAAAGTAGAAAAGATCAGTGACCTTTCACTACTCTGGCTAGAGGCAGAATTTTTAATAAAATGGATGGAGGAAATTATAAAAGATAAAATAAGCAATTTAGACTACATAAAATTTAAAAGCTTGTGTAAATTAAATAACGAAGATATAATTAGAAGAGAAATGATGAGAGTAGGAAAAAAATCCCATTGAATGTCCGTAAAAGTTTAATATCCAAAATAAAGAGGTAATTGTCAGAAATATATGACACCAACAGTCATAAAACTGTTCTCCAATAAATCACTGGTCATAAGATATGAACAGTTTTCAAAAGAACTGCAAACTATAAATGACCACATGAAAACATACTCCATATCCCAAGTGTGAAAGGAATGCAAATTAAAACTGTGATGAGATTTTACCTTAGACGACGCAAATTAAGCATGATAACAACAGATGAGGAGTTAGTGTTGAAGAAGCTGTGGGAAAGCAGGCATAAGATGAAATGAAGGAGGTATTGTACTCCCAGACCTTTCAAAGTAGTTACCACCAAAACTATATAGCACTGGTTGAATGGTCAAGTTCAAAGAGTAGTTATTGACGGATTAATACCAGTTGGGCAGGATATTTTCAGTGGAGTGTTTCAGGGCTCTGAACTTGGCCCTATACCATTTAACTTTTTAGTCCCAAGTAGAACACTTATCAAATTTTAAAATGACACAAAGTTGAGAAGAATAACGAACACATTGCATGACAAAGTCAGGATCCCAAAAGATCTCAGTGCGTGGCACATAGTAAGTACTTAATAAATGCTTGTTGATTGACTGATCAATCTCAATAGGCTATATCATTGGGCAGAACTTAATGAAATGAAATTTAATACAAATCAATGTAAAATCTTATATCTAGGCTCAAAAAATCAATTTCACAAGTTCAAGATGAGGAAGGCATGATGAGTGGCAGCTCATCAGAAAAAGATCTGTGTGTTCTAGTGGACTCCAAGCACAATATGAATGAACAGTGTGTTTTGGAGCCAAGAAAGCAGATGCAATCTTAGGCTGTACTGAGAGGTATAATAATGGAACAAAGAAGTGATGGCCCCACTGGATTCTGCCTTCATGGGACCAGATCTGGGCACTATATTTTTGGAAAGATATTAATAATCAGGAGATCATCTGAAAGAGGGGAGCCAGAACAATTAAGGGCTTTGAGTTCATGCCATATGAGAATCAGTTGAAGGAACAGAAGATGTTTAACCTCAAAAAGAGAAGACTGGGTAGGGAAAAGGAGAACATGATAGCTGTCATCAAGAATTTGAAGGGCTCCATAACCTGGAAGAGGCATGAGACCTGTTCTCTTCAGCCCTGAAGAGTAGAGCTGGAGGCAGTAGGGGGAATTTGGAGACAAATTTAGACTGCTCTCAGGAGACATTTCCCAACAATTAATTGTTGGAGTGGGCTGCCTTTGGGAGCTGCCTTTGGGATCCCCTCACTGGATATCTTCAAGAAAAGGCTAGATGACTACTTGTAGAAAGGATTCTTTTTCAGGTATAAGTCAGACAAGATGGCTACTAAAATTCCTTTCAGTTTTGACATTCTGAAATTCTGTGAAACAATGCTTTCCAAGAACTTCCCTTTTTTCACTCATCCTTTCTAATTTTCAGATCTTCTTAGTCCTGATTTCCTTCTCAGTCCATCTTTATATTCCACCAGTTCCAAAGTCTAGATATTTCCCTTAGTTCTCTGTCAATCTCCAGTGGAGCAGAGCTTCTCAGCCATGATTTACTTCCTTGGTAGCCTTTTAAAAAATTTAAAAAAAATTTTTCATTTGTAGAATAAAATAAACATTGTCATAACATAGTACAAAAAAAAAGATGATTGTACATGAAACTGCAAATCTATTATGCACTTGTTATTCCTTTCAAACACATAACAAAATTATCATGGAAATTTTTTTTTTCTTTCTCTGCCCCCCCCCCCACCAGAGGTGGCTACCATTAGACACGAATAGGTAAATATATATAAAATTATTCTAGACATACTTCTATTTATCAGTTCTTTCTCTAGATGCAGCTAGGGTCTTTCTTCATATGTCTTTACAGTTAATTTGTGTATTTATAATAGACAAAATAACTTATTGGACCTATAGAAGGGAGGCTAAGTGATTGATCAAGTCTGTATTATTATTGTTTTTGTTATTGTTATCATTATTTATCATCTATTGTAACTGTAAGTGCTAGCTCTATCTTGGGAGATGCCCATCCTGAGTAGGAGAAATTTTTATATTAAGTGTAGTTTATTGTAATCCTTTCTGCTTGCACATTGATTTAATAGTTTTCTTTGAAGCGCAGCTGTGAGAACTGTGAGAAGCAAAGCATGAACTTCGAAGCGTATTTATGAGGCTTTGTAGCCTCATAAATTTGCTTGTCAAAAGTGCAGTAGTTTTTTGGTACTTCTTCTTTTAGCTTTTGCAAAAGATTCTTACCCTTTCTCCAAGACTATGATAGTTCCTGTCAAACTTATTCTTAGATTATTAGTGCAAGCTGAGCAGACTCTTCATTCTAAAATAACCACTACCTCCCAATGTCGCTAACCATAAGCCATCCTTAGATTAATTTTAGGAGTCAGTCCCTAGACAGCAGGTGCTTACATCTAAGGCTGTTGAGGGTCAGAAACCAAACACAAGTACAAAAGGGCCGTTCAAGAGCTAGCTTATGTTCTCTGGCCAATTAGCACACAGAAAAAAGCTTTTGATGAGCTCTTTAAGGCACAAAGGCATGTGCCACCTGGAAAATTAGTAATTATAAATCTTCAGGAACACTTGGAACAGTGAAA